ACACTCATGCTGTGTGTGTCTATCAGCCAGGCAGCTCGCAACTACGAACTGATACTCCTAATAATAATAAAACTGACCTAATCAGAAAATACCAGACATTTTATCTGTCCAGTATTTTCTCAATTTGTTTCCCAGACAGAACCCTCAAATACTGGACTGTCTGGTTCAAAACCGGACACCTGGCGACCCTAAAGTTCCCTTCTGCACCCAACCTATGTCCCAGCCGCCCAACCCCCGCGGTAGAAATGGGGCCCTTGACCACTTGCCAAAATCTTGGAGTGGCCCCGCCCATTAAAAAGTATCGTCCACCCCTGCCTAAGACCCACGACAGACCTGCGGGTCCTGCAGAGCTTCTCAAAGAGGTCCAGCGTTTGGGTGTAATTGGAGACCAGGACGACCTTGTCATTGCTGGTGCTCCTTGTCACAGCCAGGATATAATCCAACACCAGCATCTTCCCTGGCACAAAGAGCAAGTCAGACAGCGTTAACACACCCCGCTGCCACTGTGCAGGGAGGCAGCACGATCCAGTGGACAGGGAGGAGACCTGGGCTCCATTCCTAGCTTTGCCTCTGAGTCACTTAAGCGTTCCGTGCCTCAGTTTCCCCGAGGAGTGGGGACAATGTTCACCCACTTCTGTAAAATGTTTTGAGATCAGCAGGGGAAGTGACCAATAACTGGGCTGGGGTGCAGACACGCAGCGCTGTGCAGGAAACCTGCCTCCCCCTATGAGCTCAGGGAGGAGACCTGGGCTCCATTCCTAGCTTTGCCTCTGAGTCACTTAAGCGTTCCGTGCCTCAGTTTCCCCGAGGAGTGGGGACAATGTTCACCCACTTCTGTAAAATGTTTTGAGATCAGCAGGGGAAGTGACCAATAACTGGGCTGGGGTGCAGACACGCAGCGCTGTGCAGGAAACCTGCCTCCCCCTATGAGCTCACCCCAAAGCAGGGAAACCGAGTCAAAGTCCGCACACCCTGTCGCAAGCAGCCACCCTCTCCCACGCCGTCACTTCCCACCGCGGCGGTACCGTGCCGTTACCTGACAGCTGGGGCTCCAGGGACTTGGGACTGTAGCCAGCAGGGAACAAGTCCAAGGCTCCGGCAAACCCTTCCTCCTCCTCCACACACTTCTCGTAGATCAGGGCAGGGTCTGAAGAACAAACCAAACCAGGAAACCACTGTGGCCTTGTGAAGTTTGCAGAGCCGCACGGGGGGCAGCCACGCCCCCAGG